GTATTCGCAAATGAAGTTAACAGTCTCTATCAACGGAATATTTGTAAAGAGTGCTTCTACGTCGAAAGAGAGCATCAACTTGTCCCTCACATTCAGGTCTTCTACTTGCTTAACAAAATCAAGAGTATCGCTTACAGTGTGGACCCATAGCTTTTTACCTAGTGGTTCGAGTAAGTCAAGAAGTCACTTGGCAGCTGCGAGAACAGCAGAGCCGTACATGTCGATGATCGGACGCATTGGTACGTTAGGCTTGTGCACTTTTGGTAGCCCGTAGAGGCGGGGTGGGTGTGAGCCACATGGAGTTAGACGCTCGAGCAAGCAGCCTTCAATATAGTTGTCGCGCTTGAGTTCTTTCAGCAACTTGGTGAGTTTAGTTTCATCATTTGCGGTGCTATCTTTTTGTATCGGGTCAAGCATGAATTTGGTCGTATCCTGCAAAATGGCATGCATCTTCAACATATAGTCTGATTTGTTCATCAATACCCAACCCGATCCTTTGTCTGGCCGGGAGAACAAAACTTCGGGATTAGATGTCAGTTCTTTTACGGCTTTTCAGTGCTCGTTAATAATGCAGTTTTGAGAGTTGCGGCTTGTGATTCAAGTACTGATGAGAAAGGTGCACCAGAGTGCTCTTGAAAGAAGCGTTCGCGAGGGAAGAAGTAGGAGTCAAATCACTTAGCTGTTGCATTAAACTTTCGAATTGCGTTTGTACATGAATCTGTCCACTATTTGGCCACGACAAACGGAATTCCGGTCCCAGTGAGAGCTTCCAGTTGCTACTTGTTCAACTGCACCTTAACAAGGTTGTGAACGTACCGTTTTGGATGTTATGGAAATTTTGATTCAGGTACGTTTGGTTCCAGGCTTTTCAGCAGCATCATGTACTTCCTCTCCTCAGCTTTGTTACACACATCGTGCATGTAGCTTTCAAAAGAGGAGCGTTCAGCTGCACTCTATTTGTATTCACCTTCCTTTTCTTGCCGCCGTTATCGTTATTCTTGCGATGTGAATCGTGGCAACTGGATCCACCGCATTTCGATGCCCAGATCATGATTGTTCGATTAAACTGAGTTGAACTGATTTGCCGTCGTTGTTATTAGTGCATGCACTCTTATTAGTGCATCCGTTGATAGTAATTCCTGATGGCGAGTGCACTGCATACACTACTGGTTTGCCTGGGCCTGTTGCATTGCTAGTGCTCCTGGCTTATCACGATTATGGCTATTGACTGAACACAAACGGACCATGGAGCATGTGTTTATTCCAATTCGTACAACCTTCCCCTTTATTGTGGTAGACTCATATACCGTAGACCTTTCCATATGCAAGCAAAGATTACTAAAACTGGCCAACCTAGTGGAGATTTTGATTAGTTATCCAAACTGGGCAGCTTAGTTAAAGACGTTTCACGACCAATTGAAGTGGCATCCCTAGTGCGTAATAATAAATAACCCATTACATACACTGAGCCTCAAGTAAATCCAGGGACGGTTACTCCAAAGGCGGTTAGCCACACCCGGACCATTTACTTAGTGTTCCTGCCTGTTCCTGCCTCAATTAATCGGACAACTCGGCTGCACTGGGCCTCGCATTGCCAAGGAATATTTCGTTTATTTATGTATGGCTTATGTGTGTGTCTCTGTGCGGCAACTGCTTCGCTCCCGTGCAGTTTACTTAACCGATCATATTGCCATATCTCTGGATGGTACGCACAAATCTGGTGGACGAAGTACATTTACTTTTCACCGCTGACAATAGCGTTCTTTCGGTGCTGTGGATAAGCTGATCTTTTACCAGTCGGACACGAAGGACAGTGTCAGCTGCTTTATCCAAACTATCATTACATTGTCGTATTTATTTGTATTGCAAATGAACTGACTAGTTCTTCGCTACTCTGTTGTATTTTGGAACGTTTCCGCGACTTGCTAATTTTTTTCACTGTGATACTTGGACCTTTTGCTAGTGCCTACAAAGTCACCTCTGCCAGATCCACTAATGAGCGCACACCAGGCAATCGCATCATCCGTCAGCTCGATGATTGTGATCACAGTCTTTCTCCGCCAACAACTTCTGCTGCTTTCCCAATCAAATCTTTTGAGTGCTCCATCCGTTGTCGAAACCCAGTTGCTTTCATGTCATTGGAGGTTATCATTTCGGCAGCTACGCGGTTTCACACTATCGGTTCCGTTTTCTTATACAATGTGCATTATATCACTATTTTTCACCATTAGCCACTTTAGATGGCCCAGCAATAGAGATAGTTCATGATTACTTGTTCACAGTAGCGACCGTATAGTCGTTGTAAGCCTATTTTTAGGGATAGAACGCTAAGAGTTGTCATGGACGTTGGGTGGGAGCTACTGTCCCTCACTGGCTTACTTACCACCCACTTACCACCTAGACAGTCTGAGAAAAAGTGCTAACCTGCTAATACCCCCTTACAGTTGATCATTTTCATTGGTGTGCAGTTTAAGATCATTGAAAAACCCAAATGTTATTCTGTATCTTCTATGCCTGCTTGTGACTGGACTCAAGCAGTCTCTAGTGGGGAGTTGTACTCACACTCCCAAGCTGAATTTCGTCTTCACTACCTAATACATCATGCTCTTGAACCAAGTGTTAAGGTGAGTACCCACAAACAGAACCCGCCTCCTGAATTTGGTCTCAAGAAAGCATAATTCGTTCACAAAACACCGTCATCAATATCCCTCTTTTTCTTTTCTCTTCCTACTCATCGATTCTTCAACTGGACACCATTACTGAACTTAGTGACGACTAAACGGTGTTGTTTGTCTGTCTTGCCTTCCAGACTGGAGTCCACGTGACCTACCTTTTGCTTGATTGTAGACTTCACAAGACATGGATCTCAGCTGGCACCAGTGGCTTATTTGCTGTCGTTTTCTATCCGGACTGTTGTTTAAAGTGTGTTTGGAGCTGAAGTATCTGTGTCGCAAAGCTATTTTTGGCGTGGGACAGTAAAAACCGTAAGGAAGCTCTCTGCCGGCTGGTACCTTATCTTCTTGTGGAAACCAGCTGTTGTTGACAGTGTTTGTTGAAAATATGTCGGCGCCTTGGCCGTAAATATTTACTTAGACATTTATGTTCCTCTTCCATTCTTACTATTACTCGTCCTCTTGGCCATTGTGGTTTTACAGCAAGGAAGCACCCGTTAGGATTATTGTAATACTGTTACTAATGATTTTGATGATTACCGACTCCATCATCCTCACTACCGGAGGGATCGGGTCGTCGTTAAATCCAGGGTGCTATTTCACATCAGACCTTACAAATTTCATGTAGTTTATCAAATCCATCGATAAGAAACACTTACCGTGAATTCAAGTTCTCCGTCGGAGTCGATGTGTGCTGTATCTCCGAGACACGTAATCAAGACAACCGTGCCACCGGGTTCGTCTGCATTTACCACGCTCGGGTGTCATTGACAGGGTTTGCACACTTCACCTCTCTGATGATCCCGTATTTACGGCTTGTGCTTCTTACGGTGTCGGAACCGCTATTCTAGCATTGGTCGTAGTGTCGGTCACATGTATGTTTTTGCACTCTGAATCCGTATAGGAGTTAGTGATCAGCGATCCTTGAGAAGGTATTGCAACAGCTGTAACCCAGAACGCAGCAAGAATAAGTTCTATGAGCAGTTCCCTTCCTTTGTACGAAATGCCAGAATCACCGAATTTGTGGTGGTTGAAGATGATATAAATGCTCCGTTGGGGCTGCTTTTCTGATACGAATCCTAACAGATAGTCGTACATGCTTCGGAGCTCCATCGTATATTATAAACAGCATCCTGACACCAGATGCCTGTTTGTTACTCCGGCCTACACTTTCACCAGCCTCAGTTTAGAAACCGCCCAGGATAAATGCTGCGAACAGCTCTCCTGCATAACTTGGATGGCCGAAATCTCGGATATCGGGACCAATGCGGCTGACAAGCATGCTCAAATCGGTCACACGTCAGGGTGAGAGCATCATTTCTTTGGTTGTCTCAGTCGTTGCTCGGGGTATTGGCAGTGACGACTACTCTGTTCAGCTGTGCACTGATCACGATCTTTATATCAATAGCACAGCCTTCCACCACGAAAGTTCGCATCATGCTACATGGCAGTCACCGCACAATTCGATACTGTGTACTTAACTTGACCAATGCTCGCTGGGACGCCAGCAGTACGCCGGCACTTCGCAGTCACGCAGCTGCCGTCCGTCGCATGCGGGCAAGAGCCTGATTTGATCCTTTTCAACAGTCCATTCTACTAACACCTTATATTTTGGACTTTTCAAGTGAAGGAAACCTGGGTTGAATTTGAACTCTTCTGCATCCCCGCACCGTCCGTACGCTAGTGCACTTTTGTTGCGCAAAATTTTTTCGATGATACCATCTTTCGACAGAGAGGAACACCGTCCTCTTCAAGGCACACCCACCAGATGTGTCTTGCCTGTCTTTCACTGCTGGAAATAAATTCCACTAGTCAAATGACTTATTTGCTTTAACTCATTGATTGAAGTGCACCTCGTTCTTTACACCACCTGCGTATCCTTTTAGCAACAGTAGCATAGCTCGCAGAACCTAGTTTCTATGAATTGTCATCTAGCTTGCATACAACTGACGTTACTGCTAGCTACCTGTACTTTGGGTATGAATTTTTGCTTTGGAGTTTATATGGTCGTACAACCCTCTCGACATAGACGTTGGATTTTCTTACTATCTTTATCGATGCTACTGTTCACGGGGTTTTCGTGTCCTCGTAGTCGCACAAAGCTTGAGCCTTTGTCGGTTCACTTAACAGAAACTACGAACAAATTATATTTCTCGGCAGGTCGCATTTCGCCCCAATCCGCACTCCTGTTAATGGTCTACATTCTAGGCAGTCTTTGGCTTGCAATATACACTCGTCATCCGGTATTATTAGCGTGACAGATTTAATAAATCAAAACAACTCCAACATCCGCCCGTTTTTCTTCTATACTTCCCTTGTCTTTTCTAGGAAAACATTCAGCGCGTCGTGCCACCCATGTTCTGCCTGACATCCGAACTTGCCGATGAGGATAAAAAATCCAAACTCAGCCGCGTTCTGGATCTCTGGGATTCCAATGCTTATTTACCACCTAACATGTTGGAAGAAATGAAACCGCCAAAAATGGATGCGTTTTTATCAGAATGGAAGGAGTCGCAGAAGAAAGTAAGCAATAGTCAATATTTGAATTGCGCTGCCACTTTCGGATTCGACTGGATCTTGTCCTACTCTCTTATCGTTTCCTTGATAACGTGGATTTCTTTGCAGTCCAATTTCTGTGTTTCCGACCTTTTCGCCTCAAGTGCCATTAATGCGATGCTCAAACGAGAATCGTCCGAACGGCCTTTTTATCGGTTGAGATCTGCTTATCCGGTACTTCTGTTCCAGTTTCCTCTCCACCTTTAAATTTGTTCACAATTATGAGACATTCTTGGGAAAGAACTGCTTTGTTTGACGCCATTGGAGCTATTTATGCATATTGAGTTGTGTAGGATGTTGTGCATCTACTCTGTCTTCTTCCAGAAAATCGAACATGTCTGCAAGTTGTTAGATGCATGGTTTTATGTGATAGAGCTCTCCACATTGGCATTAGAAGCTTCGGCCAACAGCGATCTTATCGTGTGTTCAATTTTTGTCTACCTAATGCTGAACGGCACGAGACTTGAGGAGCTGTCAGTCTTTAGTTTGGAGGCTCGAATTGACTTAACCGACACTGACTTAGGCCCTGTTGGTTTGCGTTACTTTCCAGACTGGAGCCCATGCATCACACTCAGTGCAGGCTCGCCATTGACAGTGATGACATGTTCACCGGCCACCTGTTTAAGCTCCCTTTAAATGTGTCTGCTGCTTCGCTATCACTCAACCGCCAGCATTTACTTTCTAACTGGTATACAGCGAGGTCATTCTCATCTACATGTGTTGCTGCCGGTGACCAAGCATCTGGTCGTATGGTGACCAGAAGAAAGCGCATACGGAGGAATCGTACACGAGAATTGCGGACGCGGAAGATTGCGGGTACAGAGGAATGTGCACACTAAAAGTGAACACATTTTCGCAAGCTGTTAACATGGTCGCATATGACCGTATTATTAATTATGTAATTTGCTTAATACTCGCATTAGGAATTCATGTCGCATAAAACCATCTACTGTACATGTTGCAGTCAGTGAATGAGACAGCAAGGCTTGTTTTCGGTCTCGGAATATACGTCTCACCACAGCTGCTCATACAACATTGCATCCGGGGGGGTGGGGGTGGGGGGTTATTGGACACATCTCCAACGCTTGACCCGATCGAGCTGTATCTTTCCTCTTCACAAATGCCTGCTTAGCAGTTTTACAGTTCCAACCATCACAGTACAACCCACCTTACCCCGTAACATAAACAGGGCTTTAAGAATACAAACGTTGACTCATATTGATGGTGTAAAACTTTTTAACAAAATTCCACAAAATTGTATACCTCCCAATAATAGTACAGCCGTACGAATGGACAACTGTGACCAAACGTGCATGTCTAAACGACTGTGAATCATGACTGACAGCGTCCGTTCTCGATTCTGCTTGTTACTGTGTTCCGCATTCGGACAACCACAGGATGCCTGCGCTTAATGAGAGATGAAATATTATTGACTTGCGCTGCACCACCCATGGTTGGCGGCATTCGGTTTCGAATTTGCCTGTCACTGTGGCCAGCCACAGGGCGCCCGCGCTTACGGAGGGACCATGGATGGTTTGCGCTGCACCATCCACAGCTCCATCCACACACCCCATATCCAGTGTAAACTCGAAGGAATAAGACCGGGAGGCATGTGGATGGGAGCTACGTTTCATCAATTGAGCCGATCCACATTCCTTCACAGGCAAACACAAGCACGCTGTATTTGGGGAATCAATCGCACAAAAGGCGGTGGCTGGACTGTAGTCCGCTCCACACTGAGTGCATGGAACCACTTTTTGATCCTAACACGACCACAAGGACCGTACCCTCCAGCAACGACCACCTGTCTCCTGGAACCAGTATGGACGAGGTAGTGGGTAATGGACAACAACATGCACATCAAGCGCAGCCACGACGGGGAAATCAAGCAACAGCCAATCACTTGAGAGAAAGATGGCAAATGATACAAATCGACTAATGCATAAGGAGACGGTGACATAAACCTTTACTTAATGACCATATGAAATAAGTTGTTTACAAATGAATCCGAGATAAGTTCACGAGGTCAGAAAGTATATTTTCCGGAAATGCCACAAACACGAAAGTGTTATCGAAATTAAGTACACTGAACTTCAGCGACGTGTGCAAGTTTATAGAAGAGAGTACAGGTAGACATTTATATGAGAAAGAAAAGCATTAAGGTAGAAACTGTAAACCCATCACCTGAAATAAAGAGACTTAGCATGCAAGCATGCGGTTAGTAAATCGAATGCAGCGTACCTACAAACGCTGCACCGGTTCTGCCTACCTTCTCTGCAGGACCCATCGTCGCTTCGGTAGTGGTCCCTAGTGGCCTCGGTCATGGCTCACTAGGCCTGCCTGACTCAAACACTGGTGACCGCATGCGCTACAGCACCATGCGCTCGATGTCGACGGAGTACAACCCATCGGTGCTTGCCGCTTCTCTGCACGTATGTAGTCTTTCTCCCGCACTTCGGCAACTGCATTCGCCATGCATGCCGATCAACCGCCTTCGATTCCCATGATCTGCAATCAAGATTAGAACGTGTGAGGCTCACTTTAATCATGTCCTGGTAACGTAACTTTGGTTTCCCAGCATGCCGCTTCCCAATACTCAGCTGACCGTATAAGAGTTGTTTCGGTATCCGCGTCGAATCCATACGGCTCACGTGACCGAGCCACCTCAGATGTCTCAGCAAAACTATGCAGTCCACTGCATACATCCCACTTTGTCGCAATACTTCCGTGTCAGAAACTCTGTCGCCCCAACCGATGCGCAAAATCCGTCGCAGACACTGCTGGTGGAACCGTTCGAGATATCACACATCCTGCTGGTACATCTTCCACGTTTCACTGCCGAAGAACGGACAGCACTATGGATTTCTCACCATCAGCTTCGTGCCAATGGTAAGCTGATGGTTGCTCCACACTCGGTACTCTAGCTTCCCGAATGCTGCCGCTGCCTTCGAGACGCGAAAACGCAGCGCACAGTGTAGCTGCTGATCAGTCGACATCACACTCCCAAGGTAGCAGAAGCGGGAGGTGGTTTCCGATACTTCAGCACCGATGCTGATTCGCACCAATATTGAAGAGTGCACCTCCGGTGAAGGCCGAAAGAGACAGACAGTTTTGTTTGTGTTGATAGTGAACCCGAATTTGGCCGCTGTCGAAGCCAGAGCACTAGTCATGTGCTGGAACTCATCCGCGCTGTGTGCAAACAACGCACAGTCGTCAGCAAACGGCACCATACGGATAGTTGTCTCACGGACTAGGGTTCTCGCACCGAGACGACGGATGTTCAGCAACCCACCATCAATACGGGGCTGAACACGAGCACCGTAAGTACGGGCGACATCAAAAGCACAGGACAACATTGCATGAAGATAAATATTAAACAGGGCATGAGCTAATACACAGCCTTGCTTCACACCAGAGACAACTGCAAAGTCATCTGAGGTCTTTCCACTCAGCTGCACCATCGCTCGCATATCACTGTGCAGACATCCAATTAAACTTACAAACTTACGCGGGCAATCGAACTTACCCAACACCAACCACAGTGCCTCGCAGTTCACCGTATCAAATGCCTTGGTGAAATCAACAAACAGCGAGTACAAAGGCTGGTGTCGTTCTCTGCACTTCTCTTGCAACTGACGAGCCGCAAACACCATATCTATAGTGCTGCGACCCGAACCGAATCCACACTGCTCTTCCGCCACGTTAAGTTCCACAACCTGACTGACGAGGCGGTTGAGCAGGATTCGAACAATCACCTTGCCCACACAACTCAGCAAGTTGATGCCATGGTAATTAGTGCAACATTGCTTGCTACCTTTGCCCTTGTACAGTGGTAGCACAAGGGCATCCTTCAGCTCAGGAGGCACCTCCTCCTCAATCCATACGCGTTGCACCAAGTGGTGCAGCGCAGTCAACAACGCGGGTCCGCCGTGTTTCAATACTTCGTGCGGGATCCCGTCGACCCCAGAACACTTGCCGTATCGCTGATGAGCAAGTGCTGTCTGCGTCTCATCCAGTGTCGGCGTGTCCGCTAGACTCGTCTTCACGTCGTGCTGCTTCAGGCCGTTCAATGTAGGCCAGTCGATCTCTGAACGGTTGTTCAAGAGACAGTTAAAGTGTTTCCGCCAGATCTGCATTATGTCTGCAGTCTGTGTGCAGGTAGCGCCTGAACTACCATCGATCAGTGTCCTCAGCGGCTCCAATCTCGGTCCATACACCGCCTTCAAGGAGTCAAAGAATTTGTTGTGTTGGCGGAGTTCGGCGTAGCATTCCATCTGCTTCGCCTTCTCCGTCCAACATGCATTTTTAATGCGACGGAGCTCTCGGGTCAGTCGCCATCATAGTTTACGAAACTGACCACTCTTCCCGAAGTCATTGGGGTCTGCCACCTGTGCAGCAAATGATGCATTCTTCTCCGACACCAATGCGCCAATCGTCGCATTGTTCTCACCAAACCAATCAGGCCGTTTGCAGTTTGCGCCCGATGGTGTCCTCGGCAGCAGCTGTCACCTGGTCGCGAATGTGGTGCCACAGGTCGCCCACTGTGGCTATGCAGTCCACATTACACAGGCGTCCAGCCATCGCCTTCTCCAGCTCAATACATTTTGCCACAGTACCGAGGGAGAGAATGTTAAATTTACGCCGATTCACGGCGGGAGTGCAATACATAGATTTACGGCATGTATGTACAGTTTGGCGCGCACCAATTTGTGATCAGTGCCACACTCAGCTCCACGAAGTACACGTGTCATGCACAGTTCACGCATATCACGCTGATGTACGACGACATAGTCGAGCAGGTGAGCGTGACCACTCCGTGGGTGCGTCCAAGTTGCTATATCACTCGCACTCAGTGCAAACCGAGTGTTCGTGATCGTCAGGCCGTGAGTGGCACACGGTGAGAGCAGCCTGTCACCGTTCGCATTCGCTGAACCAATGCCATGCAGACCGATGACATTTGTCCACAC